TTCGAAGAAGCCCTATTTACATTCAAGAACGCCTTCTTTCGAAAGAGGAACTTTCGAAAGAAGGCGTTCTTCCTCGTAAATTGAGGTTTACCGCCATCAAAAGAAAAGCCGCGTTCTTTTGATTTAATTTCGAAAGAACGCGGCTGCAGTCTAGACGCAGGTGAGGTTTTTTTGAAAAAAGGCTACTTTTTTCGAAAAAAACCCTGAGTCTGGACACAGCCTGAGTGAGGACAGTAGAAAGCAGGAAGCCCAGCCTTCATTAGTGTGGGACAAGAATTTACTCCAGTTCCAGGGGAAAGCCCTGCATGAGAAGTGGTTATCCTGCTCTGCAGTATGCTAGTCTGAAGCTGCCTGATTAACTGAAGGAAAGATCAGAGCTCACCAAGAGCATGTCCACACAGCAGGGCTAAAGCTGAAATAAGCTACACAACTTGAGCTATGTCAATTGTGTAGCTTAAGTCAAAATAGCTTATTCAGCTTTTGGTGCTGTCTACACAGCAGGAAGTCTGAGAAAAACCACTCTTCCTCCGATTTCCCATACTCTTTGTAAAATGAGCATTACAGGAGTAAGACATTCTCCAGCTCAACATTATTTTGACATGATGTTGAAATAACTGCTTGTAGTGTAGACACAGACTATGTTATTTCAGAATAACATCAGTTATTCCAAAATAACACTGCTGTGTAAATGTACCCAAGAGAGAGGGCACTTGGGGATAGAAGAAAATCACTATCATCTTCCCATTATTAGGTGATCTTAGTTTTGGTGGTTTTATTTCCTCTCCTTGTTTGCATTATCTAGGGAAGTAGGGTTTTAAGAAATGCAGTGTCTTCCTTCTCCCTCTCAGGGACTTTCACAATACATGTGCCCAGAACAAGAACAGATGGAAGTGAAAATGCTATACACAGATCCAAGGAGATACATCTAAAACATCAGGTACTTCTTGTCCACTTATGGCCTGATCACTTCACATACTCCTATTACATCACTGCATCTGCTGACATAACACAAATCTGCAGCTAAGAGCTGTAAAAAAAATCATGTTTGGCAACAGACTCCACAGCTGGCAGTCCCCGTTATCCTTTGTGCTTTCAATTACAACAATGGGCAGCTGTTTGACTAAGGCACTACAGAGGAGAAGGCAGGTATGGGTGACTTAATTAACATGCCTCTATTTCCTCATAATCATAACTAAAACTTCTCTGCAGCCATTTGAGTTACTATAGAATACTAAGTAATTGCTCTGGGATCTGCCAGGACCCATTTTGCTCAATAGTATGTCCCCTTCTTTTGCCACACAGCTGCAAAGCTATTGGACATAACCAGTGGGTTTTCAACTAGTTTCAGTTTCAACTCTTATTTATTATTTGTACTGTGAGACCTGTTGACCTCAAACAGAGTGGAGCCACAATGCATCACTTAAATATAGAAAATGACAAATCCTTCTAAGGAGTTTACAATCTAAAAGATGGAGTTGACTTTAGCTCAGTGCAACAGAGCCTATGAGAGCCTGGAACAGTTGGAGTAGGGACTGCTTTCAGGAATCCATAGAATCACAGAAACGTACAGCTGGAAGGGATTTCAAGAGGTCATCAATTGTAGCCCACTAGGCTGAGGCAAGACCAAGTAAACATAAAAGTCTGACAGATGTTTGCCCAGCCTATTCTTTAAAAACCTCCAATGATAGGAATTCTGTAAACTCGCTTGGACTCTATTGCAGAGCTTAGCTACATATAAGTTAGACATTTTTTCTTAATAATCTCACCTATATCTCCCTTGCTGCAGACTACTTCTTTACTTATTGCTTCTTGTCCTTCTTTCTTGGGATATGGAGAACAATTAATCATTATCCTCTGTATAACACCCCTTAATACATCTGAAGACTTATCAGGTCCCTCCTTGATCTCCTTTGCTCAAGACTAAGCATATTCACAGAATATTACCCTTTTGCACAATTCAGTTTGTGATCCACTATCATCCCCAGATCCTTTCAGAAGTACAACCACCTAGGGAGTTATTCCCTATCTTGTAGTTGTACACCTGATTTTAATTTCCTAAGTGACATATTTTGCACTTGTCTTTACTGAATTTTATTTTGTTGATTTCACACCAAATCTCTAACTTGGCAAGGTTATTTTGAATTCTAAACCTGTCTTCTAAAATCATAGCAACCCTTCCCAGTTTGGTGCCTTTGCATTAATCTGAATATTGTCTAATAATCACAGTATTTGTACCCATAGAACATTCTGAGAATATCAGGGTCTGTTACATTAGAAAGTTTTAATAAATAGTCATACAAACATTAGCAGTACTGACTAAAATATTTCTCGGTTTCTCTTCAACACACAATGTTGTCTTTTATTGTGAATGTAGGAACAGTGAAGGGGGAAAAAAGAGTTCTAGCCATACATCCTTACAATTTACAGCGGTTTCTGCTCCCACTGACAAAAGTGGCAGAATTACCACTGAGCTCATAAGCTACCTTTGTGGAGATGCTGAGTACTTGTAACTTCCATTGGCAACAATTAGCATTGTAGGAACTCAGCACCTCTTAGGCTTTGGCTACACTTAAAAGTTTAAAGTGCAGCCATGGTAGCACTTTAAACTGAAAGTGTGGTCACAGCACGAGCGCTGGGAGAGAGATTTCCCGGCACTATATGTAAACCACTTCCGCAAGGGATGAGCTGACAGCTCTGGGAACATGGCTCCCAGCACTTCAGCTACACAGTGTCAAATTTCAAAATAAGGTGCTATTCCAAAACATCTCTTACTCCTCATGCAATGAGATTTACAGGGACATTGGAATAGCAAGCCTGTTATATTTTGATATAATGGGCTTGCTCTTAAGACGCAGAGGTATCCCAAAAACAGCTTCCCTGTGTAGACATAGCCTTAGATGTCTTGTAACTCCAATACCATTCAATCCTTGCATTTAGAAAACATGGAAAGAGATAAAACAAACTCCATCTTTGTTAACATTCAAAAACAAACATTTATCCTAGAAGCCCTTGTCCTGACTAAGTAATCATTTTGTCTGAGTTATTCGTCAGATTTTAGCAGCACGTTTTCTTACACAGAAAGCAACTGGCATAGCACAGAATGATTTTTCTATAATGAAGAAAAGAAATTCATTTCCAAACAGAACATTTCCCTGAAGGCCAAATTCCACCAAGTGGGTATTATTAGATTCTGATTACATTACCTAGGCAAAGTAATGCTTTAAAATATAGTTCCTTATACAATTTTCTGCCTTTGTATTTGGACTCCTGAGCTTGTTACACAAAGAATTGCAACAGCAGTTTTATATTGAACTTTCTTTAGGCGGAAAAATTATTGGGCCTAGTGCTTTATTTAGAACACTCAAACTATTAACATATTTGCACCAGTAGTTTTTCCATTAAGGAAAACAGCACCCATTTTGTTCACTCCTGGAAGCCAATTCTGCAATTCATAGAGACAAAACACCTACAGACTTCAATGGGAATTTTCTCCCAGTAAAGGCTGTAAGAGCAAGTATCATCAGGCTAAATGTTCACAAGGTAAGAATTGCCTGTCATCACAAATAAAGTGTGAAATCTTTTAAAGTTTTAGTAATTGGTATTTCTCAGTGTGATTGTAGAGGTGTCAATCCTGCTTTAAAGTGTAGTCATTTTTAAAGTAGTACACAGTCTGAGACAGCAAACCAGTTTCTAAATTAGCTTCAATATTTGGAAGCTATTTCCAGGAACAATTCTCCAAATATGCAAAAGAACACATGTAACTGTAGTGGTCTAGAATGAGGGCTGAATGGATGTGCAAAGTCAGCCCCCATGTATCTGACAGCTAGAAGCCTCTAGATACCTACAGATTGTGTCTGTTTTCTGGTAAACTAAGGATTGGGGGGAGAAAGGGGTAGACAGGAATGAGAGAGAAAGAATAAGCAGATAGCTTCAGAGTTTTCAAACATCTGTTCTCTTACAAGACCAAAAATCGACAGTCCCAGCTGCCTAAGGACAAAGCAAAAATAATCAGGGCTGCTGGGAAATGCACCTGTCTTTAATGATTTAATGATCATCAAAAGTCTCATGTAAAATGTAATATTTTGTCTAAATAACAGCAATTTTTCAATATTGTAAAATTACTAAAGCAAGAGGCTTAGCCTGCCCCTCAACAAAGGATTTATTGTTTCAGCAAGGTTACTGTCTCCAGGACGTTCAAAAAAATGAATCTTGCAGTTTATTTGTGGTGATTAGTGTATCATATCCTGCAAACCCTCTTATAGAGTGGTCTGAGCAAAATGAGCACTTTTACTTGAAGAAGGAGAATGTGGGTTGCTGCTGTCCATTATCTTTTCAGAATTGCAACACTGGTCAAAATAAATCCCGGCTAATGCAGTTTTCCCTGCCTCCAATGGTTTTCTTCCCAAGTCTCCCTAAGGACAGTAGTGGAAGTTCATTCTATAGGTTGGCAACATTGTATTAATTTAAAATATATAGAATTCATATGCTAAAGTTATGCAGAATCTTATTTTTATATCATTTGGCATTTTCTTCTTGATGACTTAGAAGTTATATTCAACTAGTCTTGTTTTAGTCATTTGTTGTACATATATGGCCTATCTCAAGTACAGTTACAACCATGTCCCTCCTCTTTTGGTGTAAGGGTCCGTCTACACTGCACACTTATTTCAGAATAAACTATTCCGGAAGATATATTCTGAAATAGCTTACTTCGAAACAGAGCATCCACACTACAGGGAAACCTCAAAATTAGTCCAACGCAGGCTCCTCTAATGTGGATGTGCTATCTCAAGTTAGAGCTTCAGGAACCACTGGGGAGAAATTACTTAGAAATGGCCCTGGTGAGGAGCTATTACTTAGAATGGCCCTGGAGCGTTCACACTGCAGCTATTTCGAAATAGCTATTTCAGAGGGGTAGTTAGTTATTCCTCATGAAATGAGGTTTACAGAAATTGGAACAAGCCACCCATTATTTCAATATTATTTGAAAATAATGGGATTGCTGTGTAGATGCTCGCATTGTTATTTTGGAACAAGGCTAGTTACTTCAAAATAACGGTGCAGTGTAAAGGCACCCCAAGTCTCTAATACAATTTAGATACACAGTTGTGATCCTTTGAAATGAGCTAACCAGCATGATGTAGTTTACTTGTTTAAGTTAGACTGTTTTAGTTTTGACTACTAAGACTATCCTGGAAGACAGAAAATGAAATATTTGCTGCTGTTGGGAGCTTTATTTGATGCATTGGCTGGTGAGCTGGTTTATACTACAATACAGAGCCCAATGATAACTGCAGAGTAAACAGCCCACACATGTGGAAGAGATTAAAAGTATTTAGGATTATTACATTCTTTAAAAATATTAATTTAATAACTATTAATATCACTTCAGCATGGCTCATCAGAAATAAGAATACTGGTAAAACATCAACTAGAAACTAAAACCATTTTTGAAAACCTAAACCAATCACTTGTTACATTTGTGTACATCCCACACATCCTTGATTTATCTAGTTATACCTACTTTGCATATCTGTACTTAATGTCCTATTTTTTAAAAAATCTACCACAAGACTTCCCCAGTCCCTTTTCTCAGCACCTTTGGACATTGATTCAAATTTCCCCCATGGCCAAAAGCAGAATACTGTGGAAACCACTGTGGGTTAGTACTCCCTAGAGAGCAGGATTTACAGATTTTGTTAAATCTCACCTGTAATTTGCATTATCAGCTGTCACCACTGTATGTTCCACAGTGATACATGAAGTGGACTGATGGGAGCATGATGTGTGAGTAAACCAGCACTAACATGCAAGAGGAATTGAGTCTGTCAGACTAGCAGACTGTCTGTATCTGATCAGCCTTGGAGTCAAATTTTAAAAGCATAATACATTTTTAAAAACCAATCTAGGGAACAGTCATGCTGTTACAAATGGTACAGAACTTGGACAGGCAAAAACATAGGCACCAATATTCTCTATTTGGTAAGCTATGGCCAAGGTTTCTAAAATTCACCCCAGAGAAATATTAATGTTGTGAGTAGGAAAAGGCATGCATCACTCTGGCACAAGGGTCATTAGGCTATACCCTATTTATTACACTGACGCTGGAAAATAACTACAAAAAAATGGTAAGACCACTTTCATCAGTGAGTGAACAGGCCTTTGACACCAAACAGGAACAAGGCAGTTAACTAGTTATAAACAGGATTCACTTTTAAAACGACTTCTTAGCAGGTACGTGTATAGCAGTGGCCCCCAAACTTCTGAGGAGCCAGAGCCAGGAGTTGGGCCACAGCTGAGGGAGGGGACACAGACAGGGGTAAGGAGGCAGAGGCTCAGGCTGCAGCTGGGAGTGGTATTTGGGTCAGAGTTGGAGCTATAGCCAAGAGCTGAAGCTGGGATGGGGCGGGCCTGGGAGCTGAGGACAGGATCAGATGCAGGGCTGGGAGCCTGTGCCACAGCTGGGGGTGAGGCTGGGGAGGGGCAGCGCTGGGTGGCCCAGACTGCCATTCAGTCCCTGTCCCAAAGGTTTTTTGGCATCTCATCTTAGGGGAGCACACCCATAGTTGGGGACCTCTGATGTATAGGAATTTATGGAAGAAACATGGATACTAAAAACTCTTTAAAATTATGTTTCTAGACCATACTTCAGATTAACTCTACCTTCAGGATCTGGCTCATGAGTGTATCAAATTCCTTATTAGGTCTCTCAGCCAGATCTGCATTCCACAAAGCTGATTCCGAGTAACAGAAATCAAATTAATTGTATCTTCAACCATTTTCTTTGGGTTTCAGCAAATCTAAAAAATATTGTCCATGAGAGTACACATTCTACAACTTATAATGCTCCCTACAGTGAAAACCAAACCAAGCCACACTATTTTAAGGTTGAGAGAGGATAGTTTGGCACTGCAGCAATTCTGAAAAATGTTTGCTTCATCACTTGTGCAGCAGCAAATGTTCATGGCTCTTTTGTGAGTTGTAGATTACTGCTTGATTCTAAATGAAATTGAAAGGCACAAGACACAAGGAAGATGAAGGGAGATCTGACAATAACTGTCGCCTTCTGTTTTATTTACAAGGATCCAACTAGAAGCTATTTGCCAGAACTGGTATTTTTGAATATTTGCCCTCTGGATTATCTTCATTTAGACTAAAAGATACTTTGGGTCTGTACTGAAAAACAACATTACTACACATGCTTTGTAATTTCATAAGAGAAATACAACATGTCTGAATATTAGATCTTGCTTTTACAATATTTTAAAATGTGTTATAGAAATAATCAAGACTACTTATATTTAATGACTCTTACTTTTCTACAACAAGCTTTTTATCACCTATGAGAGAATAAACAGTCTGATTTACAATAAATATATTTCAAGTTAAAAGATATTGTACCTAAATTTAACACTGTAATAGGATCTCCAAGCCTAATTCCATTTTACATATTGCAGCAAAAATAACATTCTAGTAGGAAGGAATTACTTATAAACCTAGCAAGATCTAGACATTAACATATTTGTGTAAACAACTTAACAAGTTTTATTAGGTTTCCAGAAAGATTATGCTTTTACAGTCGGATTTCTGCTAAATTTTATTGTATGTATATAGCAAATATATAACAGTGCTTATATTTAGCTCCCTCACAAATTTAAATGGGAAAAAAAACATTTAACAAGCATGGCACCCTTCTCTTCATTTCACAAGTGGCTATACCTGGGTGTAAACAAAATGTTAGAGCGAGGCATTCCAGATGAAGTGCAAATAAAGTTGGAGGATGTTTTCATGATGAACTGTGAAGGTCCTGGCAGTAAATACCTAAAAATGAGTTATAAAAAAATGGAAGTTAACTGAAGAGGTAGCATTCAGGGGCAAAGGAGTTAGTTATTTGTGTGTCTCAGATTATAATCTTGGTATGTGAGACTTTATATACAATAACAGAGTGCTAAATGGCAGGCCTTTGTCTCAGACAAAGAAAATGGTTTAATAAATAAATATGTATTATTATTATTACAACCCCTAGACAACCATAGCAAAAGTGCAGCCTACTTTGGGTCAAACATTTTTGCCACTGATTTCTTAATGGTAAAGATGTTAAATGCTTGCAATAGCCAATCCTTTATTAAAAACAGCAGCAGCAGCAGCAACAACACAAAACAAAAATGAATGGTCCTGCATCACCTTCGAGACAAAAAATATAGATAGTATCATGAGCTTTTGGGGGCACAACCCACTTTTTCTGCTGAATGGAGCAAGGGATATAGAGGTACAAATAAATAGCAGAAAAAAAGAGGATGGGGAGGGAAAGAAGGGAGAAAATTTCAATTAGAGTTGAAACTTGGTGAACTTGTCAATTAGAGGGTCTGCCAAATGAGGCTAATAGAGTGGGCTGTAAGTGCTTGGTACATAGCTTTTGATGTCATTAGAGTGTTAAATGTAGCAGTCTATCCAGTTCAGGTCTTCATTCAAACCTTAACTAAAGATGTCAAATTTGCAAATAAAGGCAAGTTCCACAGCTTCTCTCTCCAACTGTTTTTTTTTAAATTGCTTTGTAATAGTATAGTCACTTTTAGATCCATTAATGACTGCCCGGGCAAGTTAGAAATGTTAAGGTGTTACTATTTTGAATATCTGTTTTGTCTGGCCAATATATATGGCAGAGGAGCACTGCTGGCACTTGATGGTGTATATCACATTGGCACTAATGTATGCCATCAAGTTTGCATTATGAGATTTGAGTATCCTGGCTGGAAAAGAAGTCTGACTGTATTTTCACAGCATATTTACTTTTATTTTAAAGCATTGTGAAGGAAGCACAATTGAGCATTTAGCCTTGGTATTCCCACTAATTTCGGATACGGTTCTGGGACCACTGAATTGAACAGTGAATATTTTTGAAATATGTTTAACAATTTTTGAGCTTTGCCCTATGCTGCAAAGTTAAAATAATGACTTGTTTTCCATCAGGAACAGTATCACTGGGAATGAGACATAAGGTAATGTGTAAAGTATCAAAAATGTAGAAGCAGCCAATTGCAATTGGAGATGTATCTGACCAAGCTAGTAAAAAAGTGTACATAAATACAACCTAAAAATAGTTCCCTTCTCAAGAAAGCCCAACAGAGCTATATAAATGAAACTTTACATAGTTATGAAAAAAATAAGCCTACTGCATGCCAAAACTAGCGTTAAATCACTCCCTGCCCATATGCTACAATTTACAGAGTCTTACTTATACTATATCACAGTAATAGTCAACACAAAGATTATTAGCGGTGAAAATTCTTTCATATAATTTCCCTGATAGCTTAAAAATACAAACCCAGGTGAAACGTGGTTACTCTTAAGGGAAATAACTTCAGTTTTCTTCTGCATATTAGGACAAATATAAACAAATTCAGCTGATATAAAAGGATTCTTTCCCATAAAAAGAATGGGAAGCCCCATCTTTAAGACAGGACAGAATGGTTAGTGTAACCATAATATAAATGGAATATTTTTTAGATAAATGCAGACTACAAATGGTTGTAGCTTTTAATAGAAGTTATCCTGACAGCTATGTTGCTACAAATATAAAAGTAAAAGTTGTCTTGTAGCTGATATGCACTTATCTAAAAGAGGGCTAGATTCTGCTCACATTTGAAGTCCATGACTAAACTTCTATTGGACTTCCATAGAGTCACAAAAAGGGGACAAAGCAGGTTTGTTAACGATGCAATGTGCTAGAGTCATGTGACTAATCTGAATGATTACAACTAGGTTTTGGCTGAAAAAAAAACTCTAGTATTAATAATGGAAGTAAGAATTACTTCAGTTTTTATCTTTTTTGCCTTTATCACTCTAAATGATTTTGCCACTATTATATAAGATCACTTTTTTTATGAATATTGCATATGGTTCATTCTGTGGCTAAATTACCTCTACTTTTTCTGTGACCAATCAACTTCTGTTTCCAGCTGGTATTAAATTATGTTAGAGCCCCTGAAACATTCATATGACAACAGCAGAAAGTTTAATATATCAAATAACTAGTTAAAGACACATTGCTTAAGCAATTAAGTCATACAGTAGGTTTAACTGATAATATATATAGAGAGATAAAAGTAAAAGTTGCTGTATTGTAGCTGATATGCATTTATTTTATTTTCTACAGGGTATTCTAAATGTTATATCTTTTTTAAAGGAATCAACACTGCCCTTGGAGAGACCTACACCACTTTTGAAATGAACAAACCATTTGTAGGTTTATGTACTGAATGATCCAACTTGCTAGGATAATCTGAAATTTACCTTTAATTTTGCATTTCAGGAGTTAAGTCACAGACTACTGGCCCCCACTTCTAGTGATGTTTCAATAAGGCTACCTCTACATTACAGCACGAATCCATAGTCTGATATCAATCCACAGGTGGTCGTGTTAGCAGGTCTAGTGAAGACCTGCCAAATTGACCCCAGATCACCCTCCTATTGACCATGTTACTCTACCCTGGAAGAGAAGAGTAAGAGAAGGTGATGGGAGAGTATCATCCTGCTGTAGCTCAATTTAAGGTACATCAACTCCAGCTACGTGAAGTTTAAGTTGAACTTTCTGTTGTAGTGTAGAAATAGCCTCAAACAGCATGCTAACAATGTTATAACTCAGCTGAAGAACTGACCCAGCCTGTGAAGAATCAAGCAAGTGCCAAAATATTTTTACTATATTGTGCTGTTTTGCAAGTTTTCAACAAAATTTGTGTACCCTTTAGGAGATAAAACAACAAAAGTACTTGTGCCTATTGTTTCTAGAAGTCAACTTTGCAAAACTGTGCAACACAGTAAGTAAGATGGCACTTACCTGACGATGGCTTGGAGCTATGCTCCTGTGGGATCCCACAGTGGTTGCAAAGTCAGCAGAATAATATATGTTAGGGCACGTCTAAGAATGCAAACCAGGAATCAATTACTCTGAAGAATTTGAGAAAAGGAACAGGGAAAGATTCAATTTAGTGAAGTACAGAATGCCTCTCTTACCCTGGCTACTGGGCAATTAGCAAACAAAACTTTTAATAATTAAATTTTAAATAAAATGAGTATGGTATGCCTCGTCTTAACTGAGGAAGGATCATTCCTGTTGCATTTACTATCACATGACAAGAAGTGGGACTGGAAGAAAATGCTTGTCCTTTATGTTGCATAGTGAACTAGTTCTTTTGCTTTTTCATAGGCCTAGAGCAGTGTGTTCTCCACCTATTTACCATTTTGGGCAGCATATGCAGCTCTGTGTTATGTAGGCTGTTCCCCACACAATATATATACACATTTGGCCCAGAGGATGTTACATGGGCCATAGCCGATTGGGCCATAAGCAGCCCATGAGCCACAGGTTGAGACCACTGGCCTATTTTATTTAATCTTTTTAATCGCTGACCTTGGCACCAAAAGTGGAAGTGTCCTGATAAAATCTGCGGATGACACAAAGTTGGGAGGTATTGCCAATTCAGAAAAGGATCGGGATATCATACAGGAAGATCTGGATGACCTTGTAAATTGGAGTGATAGCAATAGGATGAAATTTAATAGTGAGAAGTGTAAGGTTATGCATTTAGGGATTAACAACAAGAATTTTAGTTATAAGCTGAGGACACATCAGTTGGAAGTAATGGAGGAGGAGAAGGACCTCGGAGTCCTGGTTGATTATAGGATGACTATAAGCCGCCATTGTGACAAGGCTGTGAAAAAGGCTAATACGGTCTTGGGATGTATTTGGCGAGGTATTTCCAGTAGGGATAAGGAGGTGTTAGTGCCATTATACAAGGCATTGGTGAGACCCCATTTGGAATACTGTGTGCAGTTCTGGTCTCCCATGTTTAAGAAGGATGAATTCAAACTGGAACAAGTACAAAGGGCCACTAGGATGATCCGAGGAATGGAAAACCTGTCTTATGAAAGGAGACTCAAGGAGCTTGGCTTGTTTACCTTAACCAAAAGAAGACTGTGGGGGGGACATGATTGCACTCTTTAAATATATTAGAGGGATAAATACCAGGGAGGGAGAGGAATTACTTAAGCTTAATACCAACGTGGACACAAGAACAAAATGGATATAAGCTGGCTAGTAGGAAGTTTAGACTTGAGATTAGATGAAGGTTTCTAACCATTAGAGGAGTGAGGTTCTGGAACGGCCTTCCAAGGGAAGTAGTGGGGGCAAAAGATCTATCTGGCTTCAAGATTAAACTAGATGGGTTTATGAAGGGGATGGTTTGATGAGATAACATGATCTTGGTAACTAACTGACCATTCATTATGAGTGGTAAATAGGTCAATGGAGGGATGATAGGAGTTACTATAGAGAACTTTCTGGGTGTCTGGCTGGTGAGTCTTGCCCACATGCTCAGGGTTTAGCTGATCGCCATATTTGGGGTCGGGAAGGAATTTTCCTCCAGGGTAGATTGGCAGAGGCCCTGGAGGTTTTTCGCCTTCCTCTGTAGCATGGGGTACAGATCACAGCTGGAGGGTTCTCTGCATCTTGGGGTCTTCAAAGTATTTGAAGGCTTCAATATCTGAGATATAGGTGAGAGGATTATTCTAGGAGGGTGTGGGTGAGATTCTGTGGCCTGCACTGTGCAGGGGGTCAGACTAGATGATCATAATGGTCCCTTCTGACCTTAAAGTCTATGAGAAGGAAGTATACACATTTAAAATCTGATCATACATTACAATATTTGTCTCACAGTTACTTTAGAAATATGAAAGTATATACCTTGTATTATCCCAGTCAGGGCCAACTCCAGTAAGAGATCCTCTTGAATCTGCTGAATATTTGTAAGCCACTAGCAGGCAGTGTTTACAAAGCAGTACTATTCGTTGACAACACTGGAGTTGTTCAGGAGTCACCACCTCTGTCCTTTTACTGAATATGGTCTCCCAAGAACTTCTGTTGGCATGGAAACAGACATGACCTCATGTTTTCTGTTACAAATGGCAATCTTAAAGCTTTACTCCTGCACATCAGATTTAGCAGTGGAGAAATAAAGTGTGACCTTGCCTGTTTACAGGAAAGGCCTATGCTACTTAACTCAAATTCTGACAGATGATGGGAATAAAAAATACAAATTATGAATTTATTTTCCTATTTCAAAATGCTCATAACCTATTTTTCCTTCAGTATCTCCCCTAAAACATTTATGGGACCACTGTTTAGGTTTAGCAAAAAGATTTACTGCCATATAATTTTAAATGGTGTTCTACATCATGAGACACACAAAATATTGATTTCTTTTTAACAACTACTATCTTGATAGCAGGTGATGTGATGCCAAAATAATTAATAAATGAAAATATCATCATGCTATCTAGTGATAATCTGGAGTCCATGATATTAAGCCTGAAGAGAGTAACAAATGGTACATATGAAATTCAAATATAAATGTTCAAAATACTGTGCTCTGTTTCAAAATTTTAAAAAACAGATAAATGGAAGCATTTCATATTTCATTTTTCTACCAGAACTATTCAAAAAGTCATGAGAAGGGAATTTCTCTGTCTAGATCATTTAAACATTAGCACATTATTCTAACTGGGTGGGTGAGATTGGTCTTTATCAATTCAGAGAAGTATAATTAAAACTTTCAGAGTATGTCTGGTAAATTTTTCCCTCTGAAATAACCACACACATGGTACTTCTGTTTCCATTAACATTTTTTTTCCAAAAAAGGTTTAGTCCTGTGACCTTTTCAGTGCACAAAATGTTGAGGTTACTATGCTAGTCTAACTAGGTGCATTTTCATAGTAAGGAGGAGTGCTTACTCAGAATTTGTGTTTATTCAAAACTTACTTTTGGTCCAGTATTCAGATATGAATACAGAAAGCCATATGGGTGTTCAAAGGCAAAATTTGTACTTGAAACCTTTTTCTCTGTACAAAAAATGAAGGCCTGTATGATAACTGGAAAGCTTGGGTTTCATTTTTTTAAATTAAGCAATCATTTCATTCAGTGAGGGGAAGGATGCCTTGCATCTTTCCTCCACCTTCTAAGCATCCAGAGTGAAGTCTTGCCTTCACTGTTGTCAGTGATAGGGTTTTTTCCTCCAAAAACTTCAGTGGAGCCAGGATTTTATTATGATTAAGAGTAAAAAAAAACAGGATGTCTACTTTGGCTTAATGAGAATTTGGGGCTGATGTTATATCAGTGCATAAACAGAAAATGTGACAAGTAAAATCTGAGGTAGTTCTGTGTATATCTAATTTGATTTTAAGTATGGAACTTCACCATGGAAAGAGGATACAGGAAGACAACAAGGGAATGCCATGCTGAAGTGTACAATATTCTAAATAATGTGAGAGACATTTTTTAAATGTGATTTTAATCTACAGTAATTGGTACTACCACTTTTCAAGTACTCCTTTTGATTTTTGCAGGCTATTAAATTACATTTACCATTAGTTAATTGACTGCATCTAGATTGTACTATTTAGGTACTATATATTAATACACAAGTGCTTTTGCACATCTGTTAAAGTTATTCTACACCTAAGACAAAATCTAAACAGCAAGGGAATGAAGATTTAAGACTACTAACAATAAATATTCCCTCTTCTTCACTCAGAGACATACTCTTTACGAATAGTCCAACCACCATAAACACAGAGAATGCACCCACAACTTTAACTCTGTCTTAGGGATGCATTCTCTTCTCCAAATTCTGCTCACCTTTACCACAAACGCATTCAACTTCCCTTCCCCTAGTGTCTCTACTATTCAGTTATGTAAAACTGCACACATGCTGCTGGGAAGAGTTTAAGTTCTGGCATGTTCTCTTTGGTGTATGGTGACTGGGCTAATGGCAAAGTACACTTCTGGATGGAAAAAACAGAAGATATATACTGCTGATAGCCATACATTTCTATTTTCTTGCTTTGTAGGTTTTACATTAGATTTAACATGTAAAGCAACCTCAACAGACACCACATAGTGTTTGCATGTATTAGGTTTAGATGTGATTTTTGTTTGTTTGTTTTTGTTTAAGAAAGGCTGTTTGACAACGCAATAATTCCTTTAGCAAGGAAGAGGAATTTTGTCAAAGAGTTTAGCTCAATTTCTCGCTGACAAAGGCACTGTACTGTGTGAAAGGTTGCTATATCAACAGTCCTGCTCCTCACTAAATTGTTCAGAAGGCTCAAGAGCTGCATTCCTGAATCAGCTTAAAAGGATAGCTGATCAAGTTTTGAACAAAAGACATTTTTGTGGAAAAAAATGTTTGATTTCTGAACATAAAAAATGTCACAAATTGAAGCTTCCAAAACAGAATATTAAAAGCAAGAGGTTCAAAACTACATACATTTTGCTTAAAACAAGGCTAACTAATGCCATGGAACACTAAAAATTAAGGGAATATCGAATCAAAAGTCCAGAAACCATTCGGGGCATGAAATCAAAGTCCTTATATCTCTAAGTGGCTACATAAAAGAAGTAAATTAAGATTGGTGGCATATAGCCCTTTTCTATTACACTGGCCCATGACCATTAAACTGTAGGTGCATGCTCTGTCCCATGCAATAGTGCCACAGAGTTTTCCTTAAAGCACCACCTTCAGATAAGTTCCTCAAGCTTCAAAGCAAGCTTACTTTGCACTGGAAGTTTATAGCAGGCTCCGAAGCAGTGAGGCATGAGGATGTGTTCTGTAAATGGACATACATCACATGTCTTTTAGAACAATAGTTACAAGGTGACTTTTCTTCAAATGCTTGCATATGTCCATTACACTGTAGACAATTCCTAAGCTGGTAATTCCTAGGCAGCGGAGCTTAGAGTCTCATTGGAAGAAGGACTAAAGGAAGGACCATTTTACCTACATTAGCATCTTTGCTTGATGCTGCTGTTAAGGAGCACTTTCTGGAATGTCACTGAGAAACGTGCCTCCTCTGCACACAGCCACTTATGAACTGTGCCATGAGGTGCAGCATTTGATGATTCAGCTACAACACCTGACCACGGTGCTGCATTATAAAGTCTCTGGTTATTGGTAACAGCAAAGGTTTCTGTAGAGGAGCACCTGCTCCAGGTGAAACAAGGGGTAAACCCATCCCTGGATGAGGGCTGAGACTGTGGAGCCAGTTGCTCAGGCAGATAGCAGACAATTAGGGCCCAGCTGGGACAGGATTAATAGGAGCTCCTCCAGAGGAGAACAGACTCTTGCTCTAGCTGTGGAGCAGGAAAGAGCTGGCTGTTTGGGTAAGCTAGAGAGAGTACCTCTCTATAGAGCAAGGCTGGGGAAGGGCAGGCCAAGCTGGGTAGCTCTGACCAGGCAAACTCCCAGGCTGAGGTCTTGCTCTCAAGGCCTGAGGGCAGGTCCATCCTCTTGCCAATGATGAGTGGCCATTTCAAATAGCAGTTAGACTCTGGGGCAGAGGATCACTGAGGCAAGGTGGGGATGGGGAATTGGGGTTCCCTGTGAGGGGAGGACACTAGAGTGCAGGGGCATTACTGTAGGGCAGTACCATGAGAGACACAGGGCTTCAACCAGTGCAGAAAACAGATAGCTGATGGTGAGTCACCAGCCAGCCAAAGGCAATCCAAGGCTGAAGAGCTAATTCCCGAGGAGACCAGCAGAAGGCACACAGCAGTGAGTCACAACCTGTTATAGTTCCCATTTGGACAGTTTATGAAGGTCTGAATACTCAGTGAACCAGACTGAAGCTGTAAGGATAATAGAATCATAGAAGTGTAGGATTGGAAGGGACCTCAGTTGGTCATCTTGTCTAATCTCCTCCACTCAAGGCAGGCTTTAGTAATAACTAGACCATTCCTGACAGGAGTTTGTCTAACTTGTTAAAAACCTCCAATAATCATTGTATCGTGAACTTGTGTAAGCTTGACAATGACCCTGGCAATGAGGGTTGACTAAGATTTCAATCTGTCTTGCGGACGCAATACTGAAGCAGCATGGCTGGTTTCCTAGATGCCGTACCATACAGGTTAGAGAACTAGGTACAAGCCCTGGAGAGGAGCCCCAGACGATGGTGTAATTAATAAGGGTCTGTAATTAATAAGGGTCTTCAGCCTGAAGTAAGGCATATTCATCATAGGTACAACGAGTCCCTGGCTGTGGCACAGGACTCCAGCAGAGTTAGAAGGGACATTGGCTGCTGTCTTGCAGTACTCGGAGATAACTGCTGCGTTATAGCTGAACAGGTAACCAGTCTCAATGGTTTCTGAGAGGGCACCAGAATCAATGTTTCAACACTGTTGATATGAGCCAGTGCTAAGTGGTGAGCCAAAGTCCTCACTTTGATTGATTTTCAATAGCATCCCATACTTGGGATTTTAAAGAGCCAATGAAGATTTCTTCTTGTGTTTCTGAAGCCCTGAACTACTCTGAAGTCCTGGACCTTGAAAAAGACAGTCCTGTTGATGGGGCTCTTTTCCTGCTAATGTTTATGCGAACGAGCCACCAAAGAACTTCCCCTGGATGACTAAGGGGGATCTGTTGCCAGTCTGAAGGCAGACTCCAGGGAAATGTAACAGAGATGCTCCCCCCTCAACTTCTTTATCATGGAAACAACTTTTCATTAATGTGACCTTCATTCCAAGCACTTCAGAATGGTGCTTGTCTGAATGAAGGTCACTCTCAGGCATAGGCTCTTTGCAGCGCATGCAAGGTTCGAACCCAGGGGACCTTGGTATAGGCGCCCTGTCTCCAACGACCCTCAAGACTGGAAAAGAACAAACTAAAAATTCTAAATTAAAATTAAGCAATAAAATATATTCAAATAATTAAGTGGAAAATGTTCCACTAGCTACAATGCTAAGGTCTTGATCACATACCTACAGTCTAATGGACGTATGCAAGCACTCAAAAAAGAATCATAGTATGGGTCAAATCCTCAGCTGGTATAAGTTGACATCGAGCCATTAAAGTCAAATGAAACCACTGGGACTATGCTAATGTATACCAGCAGAGGATCTCTCACTGTCTGATACTGTTGCTTTTAATACCCTGTTTTAATCATCTCCCTTTTCCTGCTATTGTGTTGAATACAGGTTAGGCTTCTTTTTACATTTATAAATGTAGCGCATGCATTCCCTGCAAGTGACATATAAGTTAATTCCTTTTGTACATGTGAAATCCATCATCGTAATGTGTATGTTTGCTGAAGCTCATTTTCAATAAATCTTTTCTCAGTCCTCTTTTGAAAACTATTCAAAGACATCCCATTACTCAACTCACTCTATATACTTATGGAGAAGCTTATATTCTCTCCAGATATGGTACATATTTGTACAGACACTTTTCCCATAAGAAAGACTAGAAAAAGGTTCTTTGACATATTTGTTTTGTTATATACATAGGATCTGACCCGGCAGATCTTTCCTCCAAGGAACAGTCCCTTGAACTGCAAGAGTGTAAGAAGCTAGGGAATGGGCTAATTTAATTTTGAAAATACAATATTTTGTTTTCTAATGAGCATCCTTAATTTTCAAGCAAAAGAAATATTTCGTTACCTGCCAGTATCACACTTTACTACTTCTCATAATTGTTTCCAATATGTAATGCTGAACAAATACAGTCCAACTCAGAAAGTCTGCTGTACTTCTAAACCACACATGAGAATCTGAATATTTGGGCTATAAAATGTCAGGAGGACTCTTTACTTACTTAATTCTTTTCTTTACTCTAGGAATCAAAGACTGAGGGCCATGATTTCTGTCAGTGGCCAACTAAAGTTAAGTCACTGTGGCTATGTCTAGACTGCAAGCCTCTTTCGAAAGAGGCTTTTTCTAAAGTATCTTTCGAAAAAGCCTCTTTTGAAAAAGAGCGTCTAGACTGCAAGCAGTACTTTTGAAAAAGCAAGCCACTTTTTCGAAAGAAAGCAGCGAGTGAGTCTGGATGCTCTCTTTCTAAAAAGCCCTGTTGGCATTCAAGAACACCTTTTTTTGAAAGAGCACTTTCGAAAAAAGGCGTTCTTCCTTGTGAAATGAGGTTTACCGCCGTCAAAAGAAAAGCCGCGTTCTTTCGATTTAATTTCGAAAGAACGCAGCTGCAGTCTAGACGCAGGTGAAGTTCTCGAAAAAAGGCTACTTTTCGAAAAAAAACCCGAGTCTGGACACAGCCTGTGAGGCTCTGTACCTCAAAGAAACACCTTGAAACCCCCATAAGCACTATGGAGATAGGATAATAGTAGCTTTGTACAAAGCATATCTTATGATGTATCACTTTAAAATTCCTGATCTGTTGAATATGAATATCCTGCCGGATTATTTGTGCTAACATTGTGTGTGAAATTATGAAGTATTACTCTGTGTTATTGCAATAAATTGTGTGGTTGGGAACACCCACACCGTCTTTCTGTTACAACAAAGGATTAGCCAGCAATAGCCAGACAGTATTAATGGCTCATCAACATCCAATCCACTGTCCCAGAGGCTACCTGGAGAAGGCGTGTATGTGTTGGGGACTGCTTTAACCAACGGGGGCTGTCTGATCCCCTTGTTACAATAAGAATATCTCCAGCAAGCTGGAAGAAAGTATGAAAGAGGGGAAGCAACATCATACTTGGCCTCTTTTCTGCCACCTCTGAACACCTGGATCGGTGTCTGGAAGACAAAGACGTTGAATTGGGTTTGGTATAGGCTGGAAAAGGGTTCAGTATGTCTACTAAACTGTAACCTGCCTTTACCATCCACCAGGGTGAGAAAAGCTATTCAATTCAACACTTGCTTAGATTAAAAGTAGGGCTGACAAGCGATTACAAAAATCAATCATAATTAATCACATGCACTGCACCTTTGAAACTCTGCGGCGGCATTTCAAATGGGCAGCACTGTGGAAACCCAAGGTCAGCTGGAGTCCTCAGCTGACCCCAGGCTCAGTGCAGCTGCCCCTTTGAAATGCAGTGGGGGCATTTCAAAGGTGCCGCACTGCGAGAGCCCAGGATCAGCAGGAGTCCCCATCTGACCCCGAGCTCCGTGCAGTGCTGCCCCTTTGAAGTGTTGTCATGGCACTTCAAAGGGGCAGCACATTACGAGCCACACTTCAAAGGGGCAGTGCAAAGCGGAACTGGGGATCAGCTGGGCACTCCAGCTGATCCCAGGCTCCTAATGTGCCCTCTTGAGGTGCTGCAGCAGCACTTCAAAGGGGCAGCGCAGCATTAATGTCTGCAATTAATGTGTTAAAAAATTAACACATTAATCCTGCTCTGCAGTAAACGCAGGCATTAACGCACATCAATTGACAGCCCTAATTAAAAGCCTAGTATTTAGAACGTGTTTTATTTTTATTTTTTAAGATACTCATTTCTGACCTTTATTTACCATTCATAATCATTTCCTGTAATTAATACATTTGTTTTATATTTAACCTAAAACATTAAATTTAGTGCTTGGGAAGCCTCAGCTCAAGTTAACAAGAGTTGCTGCATATCCACTACCTTTTTGTCAAAGTGGTGAACTAGGAAAGGAGGAGATACCGGCCTGGCTTCTGACCAGTGTTGCACCATATAGTCTGGTGGAACTGCAGAGAATAAGTTGGAGTTTCTTTAGTAACAGTTTATGAGAAGCTGGGAGATTATTCCTTGTAACTTAGGTGGATGTGTTCCTTGTATAACAGCAGTAGCTTTGTAGTGTGAGGGATACCCCCAAGATGGGTTTTAGAGGGCTAAGTGATTCAGCAATCTAGATTGCACTCCAAGGACCATATCACAGTCACTTAATTAACTGGCCTTACTTTCAAAAGTGCAGAGCCAGTAAGGTCTCTCAATGAGAGAAATCTGTTGGAGTTGCAGGATGCTCAAAGCTCTTGGAAAAAAAAACCAAATAATTTACTTTAGATGCCTTCATATGGATCTAAGATCCTACTTGTAAGGGTCCATTAGTGAAAATCTTAGCCTCTGCTAATTAGGGATGTATGTGAATAGTCGAGTCAACTACTTGAGTTCACATTCTGCCCCTGTACTTTGCTGCCTCTGTATCAGATACAGCAAGAGCTATCAACTACATGATTAGCTATTTACTTATTTCCTAACATCCCTAATGCTGTTAGGTAATTGCATTGTATGTTTTCGATTAATGATTTTTTAAAAAAGATTTATTACAGTAATTTTTTAAATGAAAGTAAACATGAAACTATGCCACTTCTAACGAGAAATTATTAAAAGGATTTCAATAATAAATATATCAGGCCTACCCTGAATTACAGAAACAGTTCCACAGGCCTTGGCCATGGCTCCAAAGTAAGCGATTAAACACACGGTTAAAAATACGGTACAAATGTAAACATTCAACGTCAGAAACCCTCCAGACACGTTGCAGAACAGCACGAACACTTGTCCTCACTATGTCCAAAACCTTAAAAAAAAAAAAAAATCAAGCAAATCAAAAGCGTTTAAAATATCTAGGCATATATGACAATCTCAAAACTAAACATCTGTCCTTTCATTGCATAGAAAAAAAATTGTAAGATGTAATTATCATATATCATCATCTCTTCTACATTTCAATAAGCTGTTTCATTTATTAACTCTGTTGTGACATTTTCCATCAAAACCATTTTGCAAAAACAAATAATTGTTCATATTTATTACATTAGTGTCTCCCCCTACCCCGTTTCTAATACCAGCAACTAAACATGATTGTTAAAAGTGAAAACAGAAAAGAAAACAGACATGCACATACAGAGAATTTGATAAGAAGCCTTGTAATTAATACCATCTTTATATAATAATACTTTAAAAATTGGTTACCATGTTTAGAATGGCATCTACTTCATAAAAGAATGATCCTGAGAGGAGCTGAGCATCCACCATCTGCACTGACTTTGGCACTGCTCAGAATCAAACCATAATAAGCTATTTTAATAAGACTTTGGCTTTTATGCAGGAAATACTATGTCATTGAATTGAAGAAAAATAAGCATTATGAGACCACTGAAAAGGATTTTTGTTAAAAATGTAATGGATATGTATTTATATATAATATAGTATCATGAGCTTTTGTGGGCAAAACCCATTTCTTCAGATGAGTTTGAGTGGAGAAAAAAAGGGGGCTTGCCCACAAATGTGCATAATACTATAAATATAATATTTGTTAGTTTATAAGTTACAAGGACTACTCACTTTTTTCAAAGTTACAGACTAACACAGCTACCCCCTGTGAGATTTTGTATTGTTAATCTGAATACTGTTTGTGGTAAGAAAGGGGAGGCGGAAAGGAATTTTTTGCACAGTGTATAAGTTGGTCTGTCAGTCTAGTTCAAATCTTAGCTCAGTGTCTAATGTGGTTTATCCCATGCATGCAGACTGTGGAGTAGGAAGTACCTCCTTAGAGCACAATGCCCAATTCTGCTCTGACACATTTGTGTAAATCCCACTGAATTAATCGAGAGATGTGTGTAGGTGTTGTGTATTGGGATGTAGATATAGATCTTGATGTTATAGTAACTGAGTTAGGTCACTAAGGGTCAGCCAGTTTGGGCTGGTTGCAGTTAGTTCTGTGTTATGCAATAAAATGGATACTTGCAACTGCTCAAGCTCTCAGTGTTTCCATTGATTTCTTCTTCAACTGTAGAACTCCACACGATATAACAAGAGGCGACGAGGGTGGAATGCCTGTACTGCCTCCAGCAACAGAAGAAGAAAACAAACCTTTTCGCTGTTCTGGAAGGTGGGGGTAAGAACTGATTGCTATACTGACAGTGCAAACTGAAACTAAGATCATTGGAGCCCAGAGGCTTGGAAGAAAAAAAAAAAAAAAAAAAAAAAGAGAGAAAGAAGGGAGTTTCAGCAGCTATGGCTAAACTTACAGGACTACTAGGATGTTTGAGGAGACTACAGAGCCATGGCTGGTATATACTGAGAATTTTGAACTTTGTTATTTGCAAATGACATTAAGGAAGAGAAGAAGGTGCCAATATTTTTAAGCGTTGTAGGGGCTAAGACCTACTCTCTGCTACGCAGTTTGCTTTAAGCCAGATATTAAATCTTACAGTGACATTGTGGAAATCCTGGAGTCATATTATGCACCAAAACCACTTCATGAGCTCCTTTGGTCAGAACACGGTCTGGAAGTGTACTGAGGACTGTGATATTGCATTTAACAAGGCTAAATGTGCATTGCTGAACTCAGATCTTGACACATTTTGATCTATCCTTACCCTTACAGTTGGCCTGTGATGCCTCTACATATCGAGTGGGAACGGTCTTGTCACACATTATGCCTTCAAGAGAAGAGAAACCAATTGCTTTTGTATCAGAGGGGTAGCCATGTTAGTACGAATCTGTAAAAGCGGCAAGGAGTACGAATCTGCAAAAGTGGCAAGGTGTCCTGTGGCACCTTATAGACTAAACGAAGTGTTGGAGCATAAGCTTTCGTGGGCAAAGACCCACTTTGTCAGATGCATGCTCCAACACTTCGGTTAGTCTATAAGGTGCCACAGGACTCCTCACCGCAATTGCTTTTGCTTCACGAACCTTAAGCAAAGCTGAGACTAACTATGCACAAATCGAGCATGAAGCATTGGGAATCGTTTTTGGGCTTCAGAAATTTCACCTGTACCTGTTAGGACAGAAGTTTATACTCCTCACTACCGTCGACCTCTGATGGCAATTTTTGGTCCACGCATAGGTATTCCACCATTGGCTGCTAGTCGTATGCAACAATTAGCACTGTGGCTTTCGGGACACACATATGAGATCAGATATCGGAAATCCACTCTGCATGGTAATACAGATGGTCTCTCTAGGCTGCCTTTGCCAGTCAAACATCAAGATAGTGGCCATCAAGGAAATCTTCTAATTTGAACAGGTAGAGAACACGCTCATCACTGCTGCACAAGTTAAGAGAGCAACTTGTGTTGACCCAGTACTGTCCCAAGTTATGTATCTCGTGATGCATGGAACATCTCTATGGAACTCTCAGGTCTCACCCAACCTTGTCCCCTACCATGTCCAAGAGGATAGAGTTATCAATCCATTCTGGTTGCTTGTTGTGGGGAATCTGTGTCATTATTCCAAAAATACTGGAGACAACAGATGTTAGAACAGCTGCATTCAGGTCACTGTGGAATGGGGTGCATACAAAAAACTGCACAAAGCTATTTTTGGTGGCCTGGCTTGAAGAGAAGGTAAGCGCTTGTATTTCATGGCAAGGTGTGAGGATGGCACCTCAGCTGGCACCTCTACACCCATGGGACTGGCCTGAAAAACTGTGACAACGTATTCACGTTGATTTTGCTGGCCCATTTGAAGGTAGCATGTTCTTGGTGGTGGTAGATGCTCATTCCAAATGGCCAGAAGTCTCTATAATGCCTTCCATTACTGCTGAGAGTACTATCCAAAAACTATAGGGAATCTTTTGTCATTTTGGTCTTTCAGAACAACTTGTGAGTGACAATGGTCCACAGTTTGTCTCCAGGAGTTTGGAAATTTTATGAAAGCAAATGGGATTCATCACATCACTTCTGCACCATACCACCCATCCATGATTAGGTTGGCTGAAAGATTTGTGCAGACAATGAAACAAGCTTTGAAGTCGGCTAGAGGACATTCACTCATTCAAAAGCATCTGGACACCTTCTTACTATCCTACATAAACACTCCTTATGCTACAACCAAAATGTCCCTAGCTTTTCTAATGATGGGACGTTGGCTGCGCACTTGCTTTGATTTGCTGAAACCTTCTGAACCACAACAAATTGTGCAATGTCAACAGCAAGGTCAAGTCATCATGCATGCATCCAGAGCAAAAGACCGGACCTTTAATCCTGGAGAGCCCGTTTTGGCTCAGAACTACGCTCATTGTTCAAATGGGACCTGTTTCCATACTGTCAGGACTGCAGAGGATCTCATCTGGTGGCGGCATGTAAATCAGTTATTGCCAGATGATGCCTGCCCCCAAGACACATCTCCAGTTGAGTTGCCCATCCTCCCCTCCACTGGTGAGCTACTGTGTCAAGAATTACCTGCTCCTGACTCTCCTCGTCCATTAGCACCTGTGGCAAACAAACCTCCTCCTTGAGCAGGCTGATCCGACAGCCTCACCTGTTTGCACTTCAAGTTCCCAGCCCATTGTCAGGCCCGCACCTATAACACCTTCGGGTGCAAGAACACCAGATGTCCTGCCATAATCCACCTAGAGAAAGGAGGCCTCCTCAATGGCTGGACCTTTAGTTGAGGTTAACTCACAGATGGGGCAAAATGATTCCCAGGCTTAGCTGGGAACTTGACGCAGTCTATCATCATTCCATAGTTAGTGTTTGTTTTATTAAAGAGACATTTTTATTAAGGGGGGGAGGAATATGTTGTATATTGGGTTGTAGATATAGATCTTGTTGTTATAGTAACTGAGTTAGGTCACTGGGGGTCAGCCCAGCCAGTCTGGGTTGGTTCTAATTAGTTCTGTGTTATGCAATAAAATGGACACTTACAACTATTCAAGCTCTCTGTGTTTCCACTAATTTATTCTTCAACTGTGGAACTCCACACAATATAACAGTAGGTATATTAGTTCAGAATTAAAGCACAGAATGTGGGTTAATTTGTGTCTTTTTAGATACTGCCTATAACAGGTTTTTTAAGAATCTAAGTGTGACTTAAGTAGGTGGCGTCCAAGCCCTAAGCATTTTCTGTTCTTGCGCAGGTTGAATTTTCTTTTAGGCAGACTGAAATTTCTTATGTGCAGCACCAATATTAAGGCAGTGTGCCCCCCCCCCACACACACACACACTTAAGCAGTACATATGCATGGAAGAAAATTAAAATAAGACTCCAGCATCTAGTTGCTGTGTGGTACCATTAGTGACTACAAAGGTGCTGCACAAAGGTAGGGAATTAACCTTCTTCTACTTGAGGAAGAGTAGAAGCCCCAGAACAAACTAACACATGGCTTCAGGGTTTGTACACAGATGCATGTTTCAAAGAGCTTGAAAATAAGTTTTCATCCTACAAAATTAGCATCACACGTAGTACTTGCTATTTCTGACTCAGTAGAGCCAGAACGCTACCAGATAGCAAAGATCTGGCCTTAATGCAATACAATTTACTATGTATTACTTAGTAACACAACATTTTAAAAAATCATTATGTTCAGAGTTTTAGTTATCTGCAGCACTCCAAAAAAAATCTGTTAAGAACCATTTTCTTTTTTATTTTAAGCCTTTAACTACATAAACTTTGTTTGAAATGCAGTCATGCAAATGTCCTAGCATACACACATCCAATGCAGCCTGCTTCCCCTGCCTCCATCCTGTACAAATTGCCCCTGCTTCCACCTCATTGAGCCCATCTATCCCATCATAGGGAACTTAGGTCCAAAGATATCTGACAAAGGAGAGACCAAATACAGCATTTAAC